TTTTTTTTTTAATGTTTATTTTTTTAAAGGTTTTTTTCTATTTTGTTTTAAGGTTTTATTTTTTATTTTATTTTTTTAATATTTATTTATTTTTGAGAGAGAGAGAGAGAAAGAGAGCATGAGCAGGGGAGGAACAGACAGAGAGGGAGACAGAGAATCCGAAGCTGGCTCCGGGCTCTGAGCTGTCAGCACACAGCCTGATGTGGGACTTGAACCCACGAACCATGAGATCATGACCTGAGCTAAAGTCAGACGCTTAACTGACTGAGCCATCCAGGCGCCCCAGGTGTTTATTTATTTTTAAGAGAGAGAGAGAGAGAGAGAGAGCACGAGGGGGTGGGGGTGCAGAGAGAGGGAGACACAGAATCTGAAGCAAGCTCCGGGCTCTGAGTTGTCAGCACAGAGCCCGACATGGGGCTCAAACTCACAGACCGCAAGATCATGACCTGAGCCGAAGTCGGACGCTTAACTGACTGAGCCACCCCGGCACCCCAAGAAATATTACTTTCTTAAGGACCTTCCTGAAGTTCTGTGAGAGTTTTTTAAAATCTTGCATCTTCTTGAGAACGTCAGTGTCAGTTTCTCGTAGTGACACAAAGTTGACTTCCTCATAACACTTCCCTTCTCTTCCCAAACCCACAAATAAAACCAAATGGATTGTTTTTAATTTAGACAACAACAACAACAACAACAACAAAACATTGAAAATCAAAGCCTGATTTCGTGATGACCCTCCCAGGGGAATTCAGAAGGGTTCATGGGCAAAATTTCCTGTGAACATGACAAATTGCTTTCGGGAAAAAACCGAACGCTCACATCAGGACCAATGCATTTGACCTCTTGTGAATCGAAGGATCCGTCACTCGCTTCCTCCCTCTGGGATTTTCTGGCCAGGGACACGCGCAAAATGTGTCCAGAAAGCCTGTTTTTGGAGATTTTAGCCACTGCTGGCAGAAATGTCAATGGAAACAACCTTTGGAGGACAAACTGGTGACAAGCTATCAAAATAGAAGATGTGACTGCTCTGGGTCCCAGCAGTTTCATTTGGGGGGGATCTGATATTAAATCTTACTTTGTTCACAGAAGCAAATAATTTAGAAACAGTCTCAATGCCCATTGATAATTACCGTGGTAATGTATGTGGTGAAAACCTAAGCATCAGGCAAAAGGAATCCACTAATCTGGAAGATATTATGTTGAGCAACAAGAGGAAGTTTCATCTGTACTTTCTCCATTAAAAAAAAAAATCTAGGTAATAGAACAAATTATTTGAAAAAGAAATATTGCAAAATCAAAGATGTGAGCTCAAATTACCAAAAAGAAACAGAACGTTGTTTTTGAGCTTGATACAAACGACATTAGTATGTCTATTTAAAACTCTGTTCCAGGTCAGGGCACCTGGGTGGCTCAGTCGGTTCAGCGTCCAACTTCAGCTCAGGTCGTGATCTTGCGGTTTATGAGTTCGGGCCCCGCGTCGGGCTCTGTGCTGACAGCTCGGAGCCTGGAGCCTGATTCGGATTCTGTGCCTCCCTCTCTCTCTGCCCCTCCCCTGCTTGTGCTCTGTCTGTCTCTCAAATATAAATGAAACATTAAAAAAAGGTAAGGGTCCAACTCTTGATTTTGGCCCAGGTCGTCATCTCACAGCTTGTGAGGTCAAGCCCTGCGTCCAGCACTCTTGACATTCTCTCTCCTTCTCTCTCTGCCCCTCCTCTGTTCTCTCTGTCTCTCTCACTGTCTCAAAATAAATGAATAAAACATTAAAAAAAATAAAAATAAAACTCTGTTTCTTATACTGTGACACTTACTCAAAACTGTACCACTGGGTCTAGGGTGGCTTTTTCTTAAAAATTGTTTTAATGTTTGTTTATGTATTTATTTTTGAGAAAGAGAGGGAGGGAGGGGCAGACACAGAGGGAGACAGAGAATCCCAAGCGGGCTCCTCATTGTCAGCGTGGAGCCCGATTTGGAGTCCGAACGCATGAACCGTGAGATCACGACCTGAGCCGAAATCAAGAGTCGGGCACTTAACCGACGGGGCCACCCAGGCGCCCCTCTACGGTGGCTTTTTAATTTTCTGGGAATTTATGGTTTGCCTTCTTTTTCCTTGACAATAGATGTCAGGCTCAATATATCATGAAGAGCAGCCAGGATCTCAAATACCTACGGAGACTGTCACACCTGCTGATGTTGGCCCCGCC